TAAATTACCATTCCATTTATATTCCATTTACATTTCCATTCAATTTCCATCCATTCCACTTCTATTTTCTCATTCAGTTTCCATTCAATTAAATTTTAATTCAATTTCCAATTCCATTCTATTTTATTTTATTTTCCAGTACATTTCCGTTCCATTTCCATTTCATTTCAAATTCCACTTTGATTTTAATTTCCATTTATGTTCCTTTTCCATTCCATTTCAGTTCAATTCCAACTCCATTAAATTTTCTTGCGTTTTCCATTCCATTTCCGGTTCGTTTTCATTCAATTTCCAATCAATCCAATCAATTTCGATTTCATTTCCATTATATTTTCCATTCCATTTCCGTTCCATTTTCATTCAATTTCCATTCTATTTTTTTCCATTTTACGTTCCATTTCATTTCAGTTTTCAATTACATAATTCCATTTTCCATTTAATTTCATTTAAATTTTTCTTATATTTCCATTTATGTTCCATATTCATTCCATTCAAATTCCATTGTATTCAAATCAATATTTTAATTTCCATTTAAATTTCCATTTCATTCCAAATTCATTATATTTTTGATTTTCATTTCATCTAATTCAATTTCCATTACCTTTCATTTCAATTTACAATACATCTCCATTCTATTTTCCTTCATTTTCGATTCTATTTTCATTGAATTTCAATTTCCGTGTCATTTTCATTCAATATCCATTCCATTTAATTTAAATTTACAGCCCATTTCCGTTCCATTTTCATTCCTCTTCGTTTCAATTTCCATTCAATTTTAATTCAATTTCCATCCAGTTTCATTTAAATTTACAATCAAATTCCTTTCCATTTCCATTCTATTTTCTTTCATTTTTCATTCCATTTCTGTTCCATTATCATTGCATTTCCATTCTATTTAATTCCAATTTGCATTCCATGTAAATTCCATTTTCATTCCATTTCCATTCAGTTTCCAATCTATTTTCTTTCAATTTCCATTTATATTACAATTTCATTCCACTTCCATTCTATTTTCATTCCACTCCCATTTCATTTCAATTTTAATTTAATTTCCATTCCACTTCCATTCAATTTTCATTCCCTTCCAATTCCATTCTATTTTCTTTCATTTTCCAGTACATTTCCGTTTCACTTCCATTCCATTTCCTTCCAATTCCACTTCCATTTTAATTTCCATTTAAATTCCTTTCCAGTCTATTTTCCTTCATATTCCATACCATTTCAGTTGAATTTTCATTTAAATTTCTGATTAATTTCCATTCCATTTCCGTTCCATTTTCATTCAATTCCCATTTTATCTCCATTTTTATTCAATTTCCATTCCATTTCATTTTATAGTCAGTTTACATTTCCATTTCATTTATATTCCATCTATATTTAGTTATCAATTCCATTAAATTACCATTCCATTTCATTTCAGTTTCCAATTCATTCCATTTCTGCTCCATTTCCCATTCAATTTCCATTTAATTTAATCTTAATTTTCCTTATATTTTTATTTCCATTCCATTTATATTCCATATTCATTCCATTCAGATTCCATATCAATGTGTTAATTTGCATTCCATTCCAATGTCATTGTATTTTTGATTTTTGATTTTCATTTCATCTAATTCATTTCTATTCCCTTTCATTTCAATTTACCATACATTTCCATTATATTTTCCTTCATTTTCGGTTCCATTTTCATTCAATTTCTATTTCCGTGTCATTTTCATTCAATTTCCATTCCATTTCATTTCAATTTACAATTCATTTCCGTTCCATTTTCATTTCTCTTCGTTTAAATTTTCATTCAATTTACAATCAAGTTCCTTTCCATTTCAATTCTATTTTATTTCATTTTCCATTCCATTTCCGTTCCATTCTCATTCTATTTAATTAATAGCTGAGTGTGCCCGGCCTTGCTCGGGATTCAATATTAGCTTGAGTTTATGCGCCAATTAAAAAAAAACATGCTATATTGTACGTAGTCCCTCCTCTTATCTAAGGGGTTACCCCCTATGACTTCCACATGCCAAATTTGGTCCCATTTGCTTGATAAGTTCTCGAGTTATGCAGAAATTTCTGTTTCATTTGTATAGGAGCTCCCCTTTACAGAGGGGGAGGGGTCTCGGACAGAGCTGGTTAATATCACGGCCGTCATGTGACAATGAGAAAACAGGTCCTCTCACTATCACGAGACGAAACTACCTATCATTAGCTTTCTTGTCATTTTCCAATGATCAAGCACTCATGAGAATAATTGTTATGCAGTTTTGACATCAACATTTCTAACTAATTTAGATAAATTTAAGCAAGCAACGGTATGTAATCGGTAGAGTGATTATTTTATTAAGATTCCCTCGGTACAAGTAACTTTAATAGCAATATATGAGCTAGTAATTGCGATGATCACAACACTGTCACGTTCTGTCATGACAAAAAATTCGATGAGATTTTGAAGAAAATCTCTATCATCGTTTTCTCATCTGATGATAGTGACAGAAGTATTTCTGTAAATATCGCGTGAGATATTTCAGTGAAAATGACATTTGCCAGCCCTCGTCTCGGACCATTTATATCATTTCATTTTCCATTCCATTCATATTCCAATTTCATTCCACTTCCATTCTATTTTCATTCCACTTCCATTCCATTTCAATTTTATTTAAATTTCCATTCCATTTCAATTTTAATTTAATTTCTATTTCTATTTCTTTTCGATGCCAATAACATTCCATTTTCATTCAATTTCCATTTAGTTTCATTTCAATTTCCAATCATTTTCCATTCCATTTCCGTTCCATTTTCATTCAACTTCCATTCCTGTTCAATTCAATTTCCATTGCATTACATTCCATTTCATTTTAATTTTCATTTCACTTCCGATCAATTTTGTTTTAATTTCCATTTCATTTCAATTCCCAATCAACTTCCATTCTATTTTTCTTCTGTTTTCATTCGATTTCCATTCCATTTCCATTCAGTTTTCGTTTCATTTCAATTTCCATTCTATTTTCTTCCATTTTCCATTTCATTTTATTTCCGTTCCAGTTTCATTCAATTTTATTTGTAATTCCCATTCCATTTGCATTCAATTTCCGACCAATTTCCATTCATTTCATTTCAATTTTAATTCAATTTCCATGTCCATTAAATTTCCATTCCACTCGAATTTCATTCATTTTCCTTTTCCGTTCCATTTCAATTCTATTTCTATTCCTTTTACGTTCGATTTCTATTACATTAAATTTTCGTTTTCATTCCATTTCCATTCCACTTACGAATTTCTTTCAACTGTTTTACAATCGCAACTGAAAAGATATCAAGCTGAACATTGCATTAGGTCCTAAGTAACATTATATTCTCTTCGTCGACTCTCTCTTTGTATCTCCACGACTATCATAAGACATTCCCAGGAATTTTCAGCACACATATCGATAAAAGAAGCTTTCATCTACCATCTAACGACAAACACAACGGTTATGTGCTTATGTTATTAACGAAAGAGAAGGTCGACGAAGAGAATCAATCAATGTTACTTAGGACCTCATGCAATGTTCAGCTTGATATGTTACCACATTGTTATAACATAAGTGTTCCCATTGTAGTTTTACAGATTTCTCGATAACCATTTCAGATTCGATCTTTCTAAATTAAAGCTTAAAATTGGATATCTGTGGCCGATTTCTTTGTGTACTGATGGTTACGAAGACGACTGTCGCGACCTCTTTTGACCGACACGATGAACATACAGACAGACATAAATGAGTTTTCTTCGGCGGAGCTTCGATTGGTTAGGGAGGGCTAACGGAAAGAAGCCGACAATTGTGCTATTGATGGACACGGAATCCCCTTTTGGTGGAATCGTATATCGATATCAATTGGGAGAGGATAAAGAAGAAACGACCGACACATAAGTGTACGAAATGTTCTTTGTCGTCAATGGAGTCGAGAAAGACTTTTGGAATTGTGAAGCGGTGCTTCAGCGAAGCTCATCAAGGCGAAATTTGATCGGACGTCGATAGAGCCAATAATGACTATTGATAGCATTCTATGGCACTTGAATTTTGCAGCGAGTCCTTAACCTAAACGAGTTAAAAGCGCTGTTCATTGGGAATCATTGCAAGCTGTGAGAAGGATAACAGTTTCAGCTGTGGGTGTGGTGGCTCTATTCATTACTGAAAGACCGTGTCGTTACGCACAGCTGGTTCCTTGTACAAATACGATTCAAGTGCCATGTATGGCATGTATTTTACTACAAGAAGACATTTCGGAAAGAAATGTCGATGGAATATTTATCACCCGCTTCGAGAGGAAATTCTATACATTTTGAGCGATAAACGTCGACGCCGGGATTTCCATGTTCCATAGTCAGACTGTTCCCTGCATGTAAAACGGTTGAAGAGGATGATGAAAAACAAGGGAGACCACGCCGCAGCACAGCACATAGCAACAGGTTCATGGTTAAGCGCTATCAATTTTCATGATCCAAGTGAGCCTCGGAGTGTGGAGCTGGAACTGTAGCTGCAGGTAGCCTGGTGACATGCTTTCGAAATTTATAATTCGGGTAAAAGTGATTTCTTTTCAAACGCATTCATGCGAAGGTTTCTGCCGAAGGTTCGCATTCAAAATTCATGCTTCTGACTGACACTTACCGGTAAAATCATTTTACCAATTTCACACCTCCATGTCGTATATGTGCAAGTTTGATTACAGTTCTCGACAGATGTGTCAATCCATCGATAATGGTCGAGTCGAGCCAAAAAAAAAGCTAATTCAAAAGAAACACACAACTGTCATCAATAATGCACGCACTCTGTCCCTGCCTCTCTCACACACACACTCTGTTGATGACGGATTGAAATTCTTCTCCCGCGTAAGGCGGATTTCAATCTAACTAGAATATACGCAGAAAGTCACGTTTACTTAGGATCAGCAACCCACTCTGAAGCTCAATATTTTCTTTCCATTTTCACGCATTTTCCCTTTTCGCTTGTATCTTTCTCTGTTTACAGATGGCGCCCGGATCGTCGTCCGTCGACATGTGTTGCTATAGTGAAAATGAAGGATTTTGCTGAGTGGTGACAGCTGGTTTTTCGCAAAATTGGCTACCCGTTAATCAAATTTCACGTGTGCGGTGTGAAATTTCGTGCGTGACAAATCAATGTAATGGGGTGCGGTTTTCCCTGCTGTAAGATCAAAGTGACCTACGTAATGAAAATAAAGTGAAGCGTTACTTAGCAACAACAACAACAACATGAAGCATCACCAAATGGATATGAAGAACGTCCCGGATCCGATTGCGTCGGTCGTGGCGCAGATGGTCCTCGGCAACAGCGATGACTTCAACAATTCGCTGGAGCTGGACTACCGGAGTCCGGTGTTGAAACCGGTCCTGGCGAAGATTTATCCGATTTTCATTATCCTCTACGTGATTCCGGCTGCGCTGGGGATCGCAACGAATGTGCTGGTGATTATGTACATTAGCAAGTACAAGCTCTACCGGGATGCGACGCAGGCTTTCTTGGTGAACCTGGCCGTTTGCCACATTGTGCAGTGTGCGTTTGTGCTTCCGATCACGCTGATGGTGATGCTGATCCAGAACTGGATCTTCGGGCAATTTATGTGCTACTTTCTGCCGCTGTTGCAGGTAAGTTTGGTGATTTTTCTTCTTCCTAATATTAGGTGCGGAATATTTTCAGTGTAGGCATTCTTGGGCTTATTAAGCCAATTGATGAAAAATCTTCCACAGTGGTCCAAAAGAGCGACTTTCAAGTAAAAAAAAAAATGCAAATTTGCATTATTCCTTTTATAAATATCAGTGATGATTTGTTTAAGGAGGCCAAACTGCCTGACGTACTTCAAAAGACAAAACATGGATTTAGTGGATTTAAAAATCTCATGCTAAAATTTGTGTAAAGGTGAAACCAGAAAAAAATACGGACACATTAAAAACGCTGCCAATAAGGCATTTTTTGAGTCAATTCAAAATTTCACTGAATCCAGCCTAGAGTGTATAGAATCACAGTAAGCATTGATTGTCAGGGTAAGCTCATTTGTTTACATCGTGGCTTCACCGGAGCAAGCACGATGCAAGGACGCTTGAAACGAACCTCCCGGTCTATCCGTTCCTGGACAGCAATGTTACACCTCGATTGATCGGAAGGGTGCCCCGGAAGAATGTAAAACCAAAAAGAAGTCGAAATATTCCCCAAAAGTTCCTTGTCTGGCAGGCAATCTGCTGTTGTGGGCTGAAAATCGAAACTTTCGTTACTTCTGGGACCATGCACCAGCAAATTTACCAGGAGAGACTACTACTACTGGAGATGAATCCGGTCAATACTAAGGCCAATTTAGGAATACTGATCAATTGTGAAGCACATACTGAATGAAAAGGGTGGAACTGCAATCACTGGTGACTGGATTTGATGTCACATACAGCATGACCGATGTCGGTTGCTGAACTAAGCGATACAAAATTGAGACTTTATTTTGCATTTGAACGATGTGTAAAAGATCAACATTCAATAACTGTTCCATTCCTAGCGCCCCCTACAGCTCACTTTTGAAACAGGCCGGAAGCGTACCTGATTCCCGGTTCACTTGACTTAAATGCATCACTCAGAATAACATCGGATTACAGTTTGAGCTCGGTAAGGAATTGAATCCTCTAAACCACTTACGGTAATGACAAAAGTCACCTAATCAGGATTTTATGACAGAAAGTGGGTTTATTGGAGAGAACACACATGCACCCACTTAACAAAATGCAGCAGAAGTCACAACGGACACGAAACGGAACGAATCAACCGTGTCACCGGATCACGGCTCAAGATGGCAATGTTGAGAAGAGAAGTATCAGAGCGGAACAACAGCAATGAGCTTGAGTTGAGGTAGATTGCAGATGGCCAAATAATAGGATTATAGTTGAGATCGTTTCACACAGCCGTTGTTGCAGTAGGTACGGAACGACGACGATGACGATTGGCCAATTTCCAAATAATGGTGTCATCTCTTTGAACAAGGAAGGTGGGTGGGGAGGGATTTTCTAAATAATGGAATCACAGTTCGGGGTTTTGTGGATAGTACGGTAAATAAATTGTGTCTATTTGAAAAGAATCTTTTATCAGTTTGATTGAACAACTGAACTGATTGTTGGGTACGAATTCTGACTTTTACCTTTCGATGGCAAACCTTTTCTGCATCACTTGGTTGATAAGTCTTATTTGTGTGAAATCATGTGCAACGGGAAATGACAATGGTGCAATCGATACTCTTAGTATGATGGTCGTTTGAAGTTTCTCAGCCTGGGGACCTTTGGTCCAATTCAATTTGGTCAACGAGTTTGTGTTTCTGAAGGCTCACTTTCTCGTAGTTATAGAAGATGGAAGGATGTGATGTGTTCGCTTCTGGAAAACTTTCTTCTCGAGGATCAGAGAGGAGGGACGTGTCGTGCATATATTATACTCGACGTATTGAGAGCATGTGATTTTTTCTTTCTGTTAAGGCAAATATGTCACGTCAAGGTCTCAGAACTGTGTGCACCAGATTTATTGGAAAGGTATAACCGTCACCGATGTTTTCACTCGAGTGAAAAAAAGGATGTTAAATTGCGTTGAGAAACATCTGTCAAACGCACTACGTTTTTGTTTTAGAGTCAGGGTGTTGACTATCTGTGAAATCAGGGAATTTAATTCAAATTCAGGGAAATATTTCTTTATAACAGTAATTTATTATTAAGAATGACTGATTTCACTAGTTTTAAACAACTTAATTCCTCGGTGTAGTTTGAGGATGGTTTTTCACTTCAAATTTTAAATAGAGTTGCGAACTTGTGGTTGCGCAATGCTTGCTTTGTTGAGCAAAAATTCCTCAGATAAAAAGGGTATAAGGGTATAAAATTAGCTCCCACTGAATTGAACTAAGATAAAAAAAAAAAAACATTTCCGTAGTTAATTGTTGCAATATTTAGGCTGCTAATGGGCATGTGCGTCTCTTAATAAATGTTACACCTAATTGCGTCTGACAAAATTTAACCTTCGAGTAGATTGGTGCGTCTGCTCGATCCAGCTGTGTCCAACAAATAGCAATCCCTTGAGCGCATTGGAGCGTCTTTGAGTAAATGCAAGAATGGTAAAGAGTTAAGCTAGGTTTTGACAAGGCTGGTCATTGATCAACTCAGTTGAATTCAATTGGCTTGAAAAGATGAGCCTGGTTCACCTTTTTTTTCAATTCGATAGAGTTGATCAAGTCAGTTGAATGACATGGTTTCAACTGAGTTGATCAATTGATCTGCCTTGTCTAAGCCCAGCTTCAAGAGAAGATGATGATTTTTTTCTGAATACTTCCAGTTATTGTTCCTTATTGTGTGCTTAACAGCTGATTACTCAGAGAACTAACTAAATGATAATGTTTTGTTTGCGATTGCTTGGAGTAGCACTTTTATGATTGAATAATGATTCAAATATACGTAGACAAGCATTGCTTTGACAGAATAGAGTGGCTTTATTAAGTATTCTAGGTCTTCATTGGAAACCTGGTTAGCTCGTAAAATTAGCTTCTCAGTGAAGTTTTAGTATTGTAATGTTGCTGCTATTGCAATTTAGATGGAAAACTTACAGAATTTTGGAGGTGAAAGCGTTGTGTTTACGTAGAAATCCGTTCACCAATTAGGTTTTGCTTAAGCGTATTATCCGGGAGTGCTGAAGATGCCGAAAACAACAGTTTGTCGAGTGCTTAAAACCTACAAGGAAACCCTGAGTGTGGAAAGTGATCAGCGGACTTGCGAAAAACTGGAACCAAGGATCGTCAGCTGCGCAGCAAGGTGTTGAGATGCATTAAAGCCATCCTCGGTCTTTCGATCCGAGATGTGGCCAAAAGGTACATCGCCAACATTGAAACGTTGAGGAACATCCTTGTCAGGGAAGGCTACAAGTCGTACAAAGACAGTAAACATCCCAAGCGGCACATGAAGCAGAATTCCGTGGCCAAAAAGCGTGAAAGGCTCTTATACGACTGAGTTTTGACGAAACACAAGGGCTGCACTTGGATCGATGACGAAACATACGTCAAACTCGATTTTAAGCAGCTTCCCGGTCAAAAGTTTTACATCGCGACTGGACGTGGGGATGTGCCGGGAAGTTTCAAGTTCGTGTTTGCCGACAAGTTGGCGAAGAAGGCCATGATTTGCCAAGCGATTTGCAGTTGTGGCCTGAAAACGAAACCATTCGTCATATCCTCGGCGATGACATCCCAAGTTTACATCGAAGAATGCCTGAAAAAGCATAGGAGCAAAATCTTTTGGCCCGATTTGGCCAGCAGTCACTACTCCAAGGTAGTTCTGGAGTGGTATGCTGCCAACAAGATCGATTTTGTCCGCAAGCTAATGAATCCTCCGAATTACCCGGAATTTCGACCAATCGAAAAATACTGGGCAATTTCAAAGCAGCGACTTTGACGAAGCGGCGCGGACATCCAGCAAATGCGGGAAAATGGAAGAAAAGCGCTGATTCCGTGTCCGTTTCCACTGTGCGGGCGCTGATGGGCTTCATCAAGAGGAAGGTTCGAGATTTCGTTCGAACTGGAGCAATGTAACCATCTTAGCGGAGACGAGCCAGCCAACGGCTGAAAGTCTCCTTAATAAAGATATATATAAAAAAAAAAAAAAACAACATTTTATGCTGTAACTTTGACGTTCTAATAAAAGTACTGTAAAGCAACCATTAATGGACTATTAAAACTTATTGAATCACGAATTACAGGTCTTTTTGTGCATGCCGATTTTCTTTTAGTCAGCCTTTATGTAAAATGTAGAGTGACCAGTGAACCAGGAAAACCGGAAAAAGCTGGGAATTGGAAGTCACCGGGAAAAAACTGAAATGTGACAAATCTGGAAAATTCCTGCACCTCGTCCTCTCTTCGAAAACTACAAGATTTCAAGACCCTTGGACTGTACTAGATTTTCAGGATACAGTCACTTTGAAGAACTATTGAGAGAATTTTAGAATTCCTCAACAAATAAGAACAGATTTTAGAATGAATTCTAGAGATAACACCAACGTGTTTCAGAGAATATTTTCTAGAGAGCTTTAAGACCATCGATAAGAGCGTTTTTATTAGAACTACCAAGAGTGAAAAGCATACCAGGATTCGTGAAAAATACCAAGGGAAGCGAAGATCTATAAAGAAATTCCGAGGATAATTCCAAGCGCATTTCGAATTGAATTTCTAGAGCATTTTATTGAAAATTCCATGCAATTTCCAGAAGAATTTAGAGGAGAAATCCAAGATAATTCTGAGCAAAATTTGAAGACAATTCACGGCGGGAGAATTTCCCCTTCCCGGTGTTGGTAGGATAGGGGGATTCTAAAAGGTCCTTTTCAATTGTTGGTCGAGAATCTGAGGTGAATTGTATGGGAGTTCTAGAGAAAATTTCAATCAAATTTAAAAAAAAAATGATGCTCTAGTGAATTCCTAGAAAGAGTTTAAAATTCCGAAAACTTTAGCGAATTTTTAAAGTTTTAAGAGATCCATGATCGTTAGGAAATTTGAGGAAACTTTTGGGTGTCCGAAAAATATCAGGGAAGTTTTAAAATGTGATGAGAAGTATTGTGATCATCAGGTTAGTTTCTCAAACTACAAAAGAACTTC